CTCGCCAACCTCGGCAAGCAATGGGAGTGCCGCTGTCGAGGTGTCTGTTGGCGGGTTGACCTGCATCCGCCCCGACGCCGGCCCGTGCTCCGACTTCCACACATCCATCGACATGGTCTTGTAGAACACCACGTCCGAAATGGTGACCACCTTGTTGTCGGTGAGGTCCACGACCTCTCAGCCCTTGCTCTTCTCCGACTCGCTAAGGTGAATTCCCCACCTTGCCTTCGGAGCCAGCTTCCCACCGCGCTGCTGCTCGGGGACCATGAACTGCACCATGCAGCCCCACACGCGTGCTATCGTTAAGTCGGGCTTCTTGCCGATCAGCAAATGGTGTGGCGTCGTCCCTGGCAGCAGCGTCGACCTTTCCAAGCAGTTGCACACCCACACGGCCTGCCGCAGGGCGAGGTGCCACCAGTGGTGCTGCACTCCCATGTGCAGCAGCATCGTCCGCACGGACTCCACCACCGTCCTCATCTCCCGCTCCGCCATGCCATTTTGTTGCGGAGTGTATGGGCAGGTTAGGTCGTGAACGATGCCTTTGCCATAGACGAAGGCAGTGAAGTCCTTCCCGAGGAACTCCCCTCCCCGGTCGGAGCGGAGCATAACTACAGTCTTTTTCGTCTGCCACTCAGCCACCAGCCGCCATTTCTCAAACTCCCGAAGCACGTCGGACTTCTTGGCGACCGGCCTCACCCACACGTAGCGGGTCTTGCGGTCCTGCTGCAGCAAGAATTACAGGCTGCCATCCTTGGCGGCCACACGTAACGGCATGCACAAGTCGATGTGCACAACAGCCAGGGCGTCGTCGGCGTTCGACCCTTTGTCGGGGAAGGTATGCCGCGCACGATACACACGATGAGTCGGCGCCGGCCGACGGCTTGATGTCCAGGCTGGTGGAGACCTCGTGCTTTGCCGAGCTATTGTGTCGACGCCGACATGCGCGAGCCTCATGTGCAACCTGTCCGTGGTCGATTTTGTCGTCGTAGCAATCATTTACAGGGCCGCCGTCCCTGTCGAAGTAGTCGCCGGCGTCAGCGTGCAGGGTCGCAGGTCGGTGCAGAGGACTTGGCCTGTATACTTCGCCCGACCGAGCACGTCCCCCGCTGCCAAGACAAGCAACATTTCGACTCAGTCATCCTGCAGTCGATAGCAGGTTTGCCTGCACGCGCGGGACAAAGAGGACGTCAGAGATGAGCACCTGCTTCCCAACCTCCCCTTGCAGAGCGACGGTGATGCGTCCTTGGACGGTCTGCAGCGCCCCATTAAAGTTGCATAAATGCTTGACGTTGCCGCTTGGCCCCAAGTCGATGAACTCCTCCTTCGTCCCAATCAGGTGGTGCGAGCAGCAGCTGTCGAGCACCTCAATCTGGCGATCTCCAGCTGGGGCTCGATGGACTCCTTCCACGTGGTGAGGTCATGGCAACCGACCAGCGGCATGGGGACGGCGACCTTGTCCGGCGAAAACTTGAAGTAGCCATACGTTGGCCGGCGCTATCCCGCTCGCTGTCTCGTGGGTCGCCGATGCCGGCGTCACACTGCTTCGACATCCACCGACGTCGCCTTGCGAGTTTCTAGCTGTGAGGATCGAAGGAACAAGTTCAGAAGTGATTGATTGATCATCTGGGTAAAGCACGAGGCTATATATAGGCTCGAAACAAATGCAGTAACCCATGTGTTACTAGAAGGTTCCGCGGGTCGCGAAGTGTCCCGAACGGGTCCTTTCCGAATTCGGCAGAAGGCGATTTGATGGCAACCAAAAAACCCAGAATTCGGTGCACTCCACCTAGTTCGGTGCCTGTAACTATAATAACTAAAGTAAAAGTAATGAACCAAGAAAATCAAGCAAAAACATGCAAGATAAAACAAAGTTAAGGAAGACAATGCTTAATAAAGTAGAATCAAGCAAGTCCAGCCAAGTCGTCGTACTCTCACATGTCCCCCCCTCAAAGCTGGGTGGCGTGAGATACACCCTGCTTGACAAGATAATCCTTGAGAGCAAATCGTGCGTTGACATATCAGCTTCTGCAACCCAACTGTCCTCCGACGGGTCGTATCCCTTCCAACGTATTGCCGTGTCTGTGTCGATGAGCGAGCACGCGTTCCACCTCGTACGCTGGTTCATCCTGTACAAGAACAGGTGGTGGCGGTGGTAGCTGCCGTCCCTGGAACTGTTGGTTGGGGTCCTTGTAGGGCTTCAGCTGATCATGGAAAGCATTGTGAAGCTTCCACGTGGTAGGTAAGCGCAAGCGGAATGTAACTGGTGTCACCATTGACTCTTTGCGAAAGGGACCACAGAAGCGAGGCCGAAGCTTGGACGGAAGGTGGGACAAGTCCAAGTTGCTTGTGTCGAGAAGCACCTGATCTCCGACTGCTACCGAGTGATCTCGTCGCTGTCGATCGGCATACTGCTTCTGGGAGTTCTGCATCGTGGTGAGACGTCGCTGAGTCTTCTCCCATAGTTTCCTGTTACATGGTGGTGACGAAGTCGTGTGCAGCTTGGACGTGTGCCAGTGTGGTTGGCTGCTGTGGTGTAAGTGGTTCCCGTCCGTAGCACAGGAAGAAAGGTGATATCCCAGTGGCCGCATGTGAAGCGTCGTTGTAAGCGAACTCAAGCATCGATAACTGTAGATCTTAGTGGCTGATGTTGTCTTTGTAAGCTATACGAAGTAACAGTTCAACCACCTGATTGAGTCGCTCGGTCTGTGCGTCAACCTGGGAGTGGTACGCTGAAGACATCGCAAGCTTTGTCCCCAACAAACCCAAGAGTTCTCTCTAGAAGTTACTAGTGAAGTTGGGGTTTCTGTCTGAGATGAGTGTAGCAGGGATGCCGTGGATGGTGATGATGCAGTCGAAGAAGAGGCGAGCAGTTGCTTCAGCTGTAGCCGTGGCGTTGGTCGAGATGAAGTGTCCCGTTTTAGAGAAATTGTCGATCACCACGAGTATAGCGTCATGCCCTCGTGAGGTCGAAGGAAGCCCCATCATGAAGTCGAGGTTAACGACTTACCATGGCTGCTCCAATACGGGTAGAGGCTGAAGTAACCCTGCTTTCTTCTGCTTGCTACTCTTCATCCGCTGGCACGTGTCGCATGAGGTGACGAATTGCCGCACGTCTGTTGCCATCCAGGGCCAATAGTAATATTAGCTATTCCCGTCTGTTGCCATTTTGGGCCCACCAAATAGTACTGCCTGCCGCGCTGCCCCACCAATCGTGCTGCCCTGCCTTGCCCTGCGTAGCGCCACCCGCGCATGCCTTGCCCTGCCCTGCGTTGCTCCGCCCCGCGCACGCCCTTCCCTGCATCGCGCCGCCCCGCGCACGTCCTGTCTTGCGTTGCGCGCCCCGCGTCCGCCCTGCACTGCCCTGCGTTGCGCTGCCCGCGGACGCCCTGCCCTGCCCTGTGTCGCGCTGACCACGCGCGCCTTGCCGTGCGTCGCGCTGCCCGCACACGTCCTGCCTTGCGTCGCGCCGCCAGCGCGTGCCCTGCCCTGCATCGTGCCGCCCCGCGCACGCCCTGCCCTGCGTCGCGCCGCCCGTGCACGCCCTACCCTGCCCATCGCATCACCCTACGGCCCGCGCGTCGCCCCTTTCTGCCCACGCGCTGCCCTTTCCTGCCCGCTCGCCGCCCTGCCCTGCCCGCACGCAGCCCTGCAGCCTGCCGCGCCGCCCTTTCCTGCCCGCGCGTTGCCCTGCTAGCCGCGCGCCGCCCTTTCCTGCCCGCGCGCCACCCTGCAGGCTGACGCGCTGCCCTTCCCTGCCCTATGCGCCGCCCTTCCGTGACCATGTGCTGCCCTGCCCTGCCCTGTGCGCCTTCCTAGTTCACACACGCCGCCCTATTCGTAGCACCGTCCTGTTGCCTGCATGCTGCCCTCCAAGTTATGCGCCACCCTGCTCTGCTAGCTATGGCTACCCTCAGCGTTCTCACCTTCGATCCTGAGGGCCGTCCGATCCAGTTTGATATATGGCTGGACGACTTACAGCTGTACCTACTGAGCGATTCTAAAGACAGCGTCTCGTTGTTTGACCACACGTCTGGAGCCTCTCTCGCTCCCCCCGACACTACTGACAGTGCATCTCGCTCACAGTGGCTTACCCGTGACGCTACTGCTCGCCTCGCCGTTCGCAACCACCTGCCGTTAGCCGAACGCGCTCACTTTGGCCAGCACAAGACTGCTAAAGTCATGTTTGACGCTGTAGTCGCTCGTTACTCCTCCCCTGCCACTGCTGCTCTCGGCCGCCTTATACTGCCCTACCTTTTTCCCAAGTTGTCCGCCTTTGCCACAGTCGATGACCTCATCACCCACCTTCGCACTAGCGACACTCGCTACCGCGCCGCGCTTAAAGGCGAGTGGACAGGACCAGGAGCGGTACTTTCTGCTGGTTGTTGACGACTACTCGCGTTACACCATGGTCTTCCCCTTGCACAGCAAGGGGGAGGTCCCTGATGTCTTGATCCCTTGGATCCGCGCTGTCCGTCTCCAGCTCCGCGAGGGATTCCGCACGGATCTTCCTGTCCTACGTCTGCACTCTGACAGGGGTGGTGAGTTCTCCTCCGACCTCTTGCGGGACGGGGGAGGTTGGCGATGCGTCGGTGTTTCGGGTCTGGGGTGCTCGTGCCTTTGTCCGCGATACCTCCGCGGACAAGCTCTCCTCCCGCGCCATTCCCTGTGTCTTCCTTGGCTTCCCCCCTGACGCGCCTGGCTGGCAGTTTTACCACCCCACCACGCGCCGTGTTCTGTCCTCTCAGGACGTCACGTTTGACGAGTCGGTTCCCTTCTACCGTCTCTTCCCCTACCGCACTGCCCCTCTCCCACCCCCCACCTGCCGCTCTTCCTCGCTCCAGGTCCCCCTCCGGTAGACCCCCTCCCCCCTCAGGGTCCTGCTCCTTCAGGTGTGTCTCAGGTAGACCCACTTCCCTTGGCTGAGCCTGTCGAGGTCACAGGCGACTCTGGTGCTGCTGGGGGTGGTGCTGCTCGGGGTGCTGCATCTTGGAGTGCTGAGCATGCGGGTGCGGAGCCTGGGGGTGTTGAGCCTGGGGGTGCGGAGCCTGGGGGTGCTGAGCCTGCGGGTGTGGAGCCTGGGGGTGCTGAGCCTAGGGGTGCTGAGCCTGCGGGTGCGGAGCCTGGGGGTGCTGAGTCTGGGGGTTTAGGGTTTATGGTTTAAACCCTGGAGGCCCTGTCGCTGGAGGCGCTGGCGCTGGCGGCACTGACGCTGGAGGCACTGGAGCTGGAGGCACTGGAGCTGGAGGCGCTGGAGCTGGAGGCGCTGAACCTGGAGGCGCTGGAGCTAGAGGTGCTGGAGCTGGAGGCGCTGGAGCTGGAGGCGCTAGAGCTGGATGTGCTTGAGCTGGAGGTGCTGGAGCTGGAGGCGCTGGAGCTGGAGGTGCTGGAGCTGGAGGCGCTGGAGCTGGAGGCGCTGGAGCTGGAGGCGCTAGAGCTGGAGGTGCTGGAGCTTTGGGCGCTGGAGCTGGAGCCGCTGGAGCTGGCGTTGCTGGCGCTTGAGGCCCTGGAGCTGGAGGTACTGGTGCTGGGGGCACTGTGTAGCCGTTTTTCTTGCCGCCGCCGAAGCTCTCGCCGCTACTGCCCGACTTGGCGCTCCGTCAGGTTCTTAGTCTTCCTTCGTCCACTGCCTCTCCTCCAGACTCACCGCTGCCTCCCCTCCCTCGTTACACTGAGCACCTGGCCTCCCTTACCGAGCGACGTGAGCCTGTGTCTCATCCTGTCACGCCTGCTCGCACTGGTCGTCGTGTCCCTCGTCCGCGTCATCTCCCTGTGCTTGGTACTCACACTATGGCACTTTGTCCTTCCTCTGTTCCACAGCGTGTTGCCCTACCGTCTTCTCCGGCATCCTCATTTCCAGACGTTCCGGACCCAGAGTCTGACCGTGTTCGTGCTGCTAGTCCCACTGTCACGCGTCTCCTAGCCACTGTTGTCACTGACCCTTCTTTTGAGTCCACTGCTGCGTCTGCCTTAGTTGCTGAGCTTGTGGACTTTGCTGCTGCGTGTCGTCTAGACTACGCCACTAGTCTTGTTGCTGAGTCTGAGTCTGTATGTCCTCCGTCCGTCGGGGGTGAGTGTGCTCTTCGCACGGACGTCCTTGAGGACAGGCAGGAGGACTTTGAGTGTCTTGCGGCTGCTGTACCTCATCTCGTGGCCATGCTGCTTGCACCTGAGGGAGACCTGGATGCACTGGACATCCCGACCCCGCGCTCTCGATTACGGGTCCCTACTCCTCTTAGTGGCAGACAGCCGTGGGCGTAGAGATGGCATCCTGGAAATCCACAGGCACTTACGTTGACGCAGTTCCCCCTCCTGTATCGAACATAGTCGATGGCATGTGGATTTTCAGGGTGAAGCGGCCGCCGGGTTCTCCGCCTGTCTTCAAGGCTCGTTACGTTGCACGAGGCTTCAATCAGCGATAGGGAGTTGACTTCTTCCAGACCTTCTCCCCCACCCCGAAGATGACCACTCCTTGGGTGCTGCTGCACTTTGCCGCTCATCATGACTATGAGCTTCACTCTCTTGACTTCAGCACAACTTTCTTACAGGGCAGCCTGCACGAGGAGATCTGGCTGCGCCACCCACCTGGCTTCACTGGGTCGTTTCCTGCAGGTACCCAGTGGAGCCTCCGGCGGCCAGTCTACGGTCTCCGCCAGGCGCCTCATGAGTGGCACGACACACTGAGGACGACACTTGCGGCTCTCGGGTTTGCTCCTTCGACTGCTGACCCGTCGCTGTTTCTGCGCACCGACACTTCGCTGCCACCGTTCTACATCCTCGTGTACGTCGACACACGTGCTGACACTGAGGCACTGGCCCTTGTGAAGTCGGAGCTGCAGAAGAGACACACGTTCCTGGGTGAGCCACGTAGCTATCTTGGCTTGCAGATCACTCGGGACAGAGCACGCCGCACCATCACCCTGACTCAGTCACACATGGTGCACCTGATCCTTCAGTGCTTCGGCTTCCAGTTCTCCTCGCCACAGTCCACTCCTCTGCCTACCGGTCAGTCGTTCTCTGATCCACCTAGAGCCGAGTGGCCCGTATCCAGTGCTTTTGGGCTGTCTCATGTACGTGATGACCTGCACTCGACCTGACCTTGCGTACCCTCTTAGCATCCTGGCACGCTAAAAGGGTGTTGCGCTACCTGTGCAGTACATCAGGCATGGGGCTCGTGCTTGGAGGACAGGGTCCAGTTGTCCTCACTGGACACTCAGACGCCTCTTGGGTTGACGACCTGGCTACGCAGCGGTTGTCACAGGGTTACACCTTCAGCCTTGGCTCTGGCTCTGTTTCTTGGCGGTCTACCTGCTCGTCTTCTGTTCTTAGCTCCAGTTGTGAGGCTGAGATCTACGCAGGAGCCATGGCTCCTTATAGGAATGCGTCCGGTTTAGGGTTTAGGGTAATTCAACCAAGTGACTAAACCCTAAACCCTACGTTACTTCTTTGCTCGAGAGTTGCAGCAGCGTGGTCAGCTTTGTCTTACTTACATGGCCACTCGGGCCAACATTGCTGATATATTCACCAAGGCACTTTCGCCTAGTGATCATCAGCGTTTCTGTACTGCTTTAGGCCTTGTACCTACTTTGTCTCACTTGTTCACTACGTGAATTTGCTTGTACTCTAATCTACATATACCTGCATGCTTACTCTTGCTAGGTTATGATCACTGTACTTTTTGCTTTCTTTAATTTAAATTTACTTGTGAACTGGCCTTATGGCCATTTGCATGTGCTCAGAATGTGAGGTGACTTCGTGATCCAACCTAAGCTTCCTTTGCTTTTCTTGACCGGTCTTGTGACCATTGTTTCTCCCCCACACTGCCCAAGGGGGTGTGTCAAACTATAACGATGCTTATGTTATGTAGGTTGTGGTGGGGTAGCCCATAAGGGGAACAACCCAATTAGGGTTAATACTTGTATCCAGATCTGTTCTCAATGCATCATTCTCGTTCTATTTTCCGACAAGTTTCTAGGAAGTCCATCCACCCCACCTGTCATCGTGAGAGCAAAGGCTGCGACTTGAGGTATTTGAGGCTACAGGGGTCAGTGTAGACTGTAGTCTTGGCTCCCTCTAGGTAACACCTCCACGCCTTGAAGGTTGTGACTATCGCTAAGGCTTCCTTGTCATGGATTGGGTAATTCAGTTCTGCTCCGTGTAGCTTCTTACTGAGGTAGGCGATGGGCTGCAAACCGCGTCCGTGATCCTGCATCAGTACTGCTCCGACTGCCTGGTCACTAGCGTCTGCTTCCACGACATACTCTCTGTCTGGATCCGGTAGGATAAGTACTGGCACTGTAGTCAGAGCAGTTTGTAGCTGCTTCGTGGCGTAAACGTGACAGGGGAGTGTCAATGGGAGTTGGGCATTGGCCCCATCCTTGCTTGGGCAGAGCTGATTTCGTGGTCGAGTGACCGGGAGGTGCAGCCGACCGATTGCAGTGGGCGACGCCGACTTCGGTGCACAGGTCGACGGACTTGGGTCGACCTGCACGAGGCCATTTTGAAGCCGCCGACGACGGGAGGCCGGCGACCGACTTCTACTAGTGGTTGACGACAGGGCTCGTCGACCTGGCGGGACGCCGACTTGGGAGGGCGCCAACTTCGGGAGGCCGACTTGATGGCGTCGGCCTGGGAGGACGCGGAATTGGTGGCGCGCATCTGGGGAAGCCGGTTAGGGGCAGTCGAGATCAGCCAACCTGGACGACCATAAATGGTTGGCATGGGGTAGTGGCCGACTTCGTGAAGTCGGCAAAGGGTGGTCGTCGACCTGGGAGGTCGACGGGCAGAAGGAGCAGCACTTGGTCGACGTGGGTGCCCGGTTGACCAAGTTACCTTGGCGACGGGGATCTGCGGAGGTGCGCGATAATCGCCCAGGTGGTTCTGGCGAAGCCGACCTCGGAGGTGGTATCCCGAGGTCGACGTGGCTGATCAAGCGTAGTCGTTGGCACGTGGTGAGATTGGCATCTATGTTGTGCACGTGACGGGGCACAGCGCGCCAATCAAATGCGAACACCTGCGAAGCGGGTGCGCTGCTGTCATGAAGGTGCAATGCTCAACAGCCGCCCTGCTGTAGCGTTGGCACGCCGTCGACTTGCAACGTTGGCAAGCCGCATCTTTGCAGCGCTAGAGAGGTGGGGTCTTTGCTGCACTGGAACGCGGTCGACCGTGCTGCGCTGGAGGTCGATCTGCTTGCTTGCTAGCTTCTGATGTAGTCAGTGTTGCTTTGCCTTTGTCAACCATTGTTGTGAGCTTTTGCTAAAGAAAATCTTGCCAATACCTCCCGTGAATGTGTGCGTAGAGAGAACACAAGCAAACGACTAAGGAACGCTATGATCACTCAAACAACCGTGCCTTCGCCCCGTAGTCTAGATCCCGTTGTATATTTTCTCTCTGCACTCACCAAAATCCATAATTCCCAGAAACAGCTATATGATCGCCATTGACACGACCACACGATTGTAGTCGGAGTCCAAGATGTTCTGGACAATTGTAACTTAACTTTCCCATGTGTTGTCCAAGCTACGTCCGTATTTTTGTGGTCCTTTCTGTGTTGAAGTGTTTACTGGATACATGGAAGATTCACAACGCTTTCCATGTACAACTCCTAAAGCCCTCTAAGGACCCGAATCAACACTACCAAGGATGCTAGCTGCCATAGTCGCCCCAAGTTCTTGTGCGGGATGACCAGATCATGAAGTGAAGCGTATTCTCGCGCACCGTTGCCGATGGCACGACACGCTCAAGCTCTGAATACGCTAAGAGGGTTATTATCAAGTTGGGTGATAGAAGTTGACATGGAGAACGCACGATGTGCTATCAAATATTATATTGTGAAGTAGGATACCTCTTATTCCACCCAGCTTTGAGGGGGCCAACATCTAAGAGTGTTTCATTCGTCACACCCATTTTTCTCTTATTTTTATTCCCCGTTTTGTTTCATACACTACTTTTCGTATTTGACCACTTTGCTTTCCAATGTGTTGAATAGGTTGTATATGCATCGTTTATAGAACCATCTCGATTTATATCACGTATCGTAGGACAAAACGTTCATAAGTTCGAAAAGGACATATTTTGCCGATTCCATAACCTAGTTGCATCCTAGTTACCTGCCTCGTACGTGCCTATATATAGACCCATAGCGTGTACCAGGAATTCATACTTGACTCGAAGTGAAGCCTGGATCCTCTTACATTATCGCGACATACGGGACATGTGAGCAGTGTCTGGGGAAGCGTTGGCGGTTCGTGATGTTGTCATATCATGTCGTGAACTGGTCATGATTGACAAAGTCAAATGAAATCGCCGCTGTCAGTGACTTTGTCGCCACCCGCTACCTTGAATACACCGCCCGCTTGGTGGCTGCTCCTCCTATACGTCCTTTGTATACCAGAGGTTATGCAGTTTAAGTTGGTGTTCTTTGTTCTTTGTTCTTTGTTCTTCTATAAGACCCGCCGGTAAGAGGGTCCCCCGGGACTCTTAAATGGGTCTGGGGATCCCGAGCTTTTGTTCGCGATACGTCCGCGGACAAGCTCTCCTCTCGCGCTGTTCCTTGTGTCTTTCTTGGCTTTGTCCCGGACGCGCCTGGTTGGCAGTTTTACCACGTCACCTCGCGCCGGGTTCTGCCTTCTCAGGACGTCACTTTTGACGAGTCCGTCCCCTACTACCGCCTCTTCCCCTACCGCACTGCCCCGCTCCCCCCCCCGCCTCTCTTCCTCGCGCCAGGTGCTGCTGTGGTAGACCCCCTCCCCCCTCAGGGTGCCGCTCCCTCAGGTGTGTCCCAGGTAGACCCGGTTGAGCCTGTCGAGGTAGCTGTTGACTCTCGTCCTGCTAGGGGTGCTGAGCCTGAGCGTGAGGAGCCTGGCGGTGCTGAGTCTGGGGGTGCGGAGCCTGGGAGTGCTGAGCCTGGGGGTGCGGAGCCTGGGGGTGCTGAGCCTGGGGGTGCTGAGCCTGGGGGTGCGGAGCCTGGGGGTGCTGAGCCTGGGGGTGCGGAGCCTGGGGGTACTGAGTCTGGGGGTGCTGAGTCTAGCGGTACTGAGCCTGGGAGTACTACTTCTGGAGGAGCCCTCTCCTCACAGCAGCTGCAGGAGAGGTACCTCCAGTACTGCAGCCTCAGGAGAGGTGCTGCTGGAGCTGGTACCAGTGCTTCCCCTCCTACCCGGGAGCTCCCCTCCCTTCAGCGGATCCGAGAGTGGTACACGCGGCGCTGCAGCCTTCGGAGTGGCGCTCCTGGTGTCGCGGACCCTGGTACTGCAGGTGCT